CTGCATAGAGGTCCCGGCCTTTATCAGCACACTCAGAGGAGGTTACATTCTCTTGGGCTAAGGTTGGAAACCATAGGCTTCTTTGGATTTTATCTATAGCTAATGATTAAAAAAATGAAGGAAAAAGGAAAAAAAAAATCACCCTTCTTTGTTTTTCCTGCAGTGCCCAGCTGTCTGTCTGCAGATCTGCTAATGTTTGACTCTGCCTAACAATGCCTGCTTTGGTCATCTGGATTCTGCTGATTTCACTCCTTGCTTCAAACTTTCCATTAATTCCTGTTGCTTTTAGAATAAAACCCAACTTCCCCAAAACAATCCAAGGAATAACAGCCGTCCAAAGATGACCACATCCTAATCTCTGGAACCTGATTGTATAGTATTATACGGAAAAGTGGTTTTGTAGATGTGATTAAGTTAAAGATTTTGAGATGTGGAAATTATGTTGGATTATCTGCATGGTCCAAGGTAATAAAAACTGTCCTTGTAAGAGGGAGGGAGGAAGGCCAGAGTGAGAGAAGGGAGATGTAAAGACGGACTAGGAAGTGGAAGTGATATGGGGCCATGAACCAAGGAATGCCAGTGGCTTCTAAAAGCTAAAAGACAAATGAAAATGATTCTTGCTAGATCCAGAGCAAGAGAAAAGTGCAGAGGAGCATGTCTGGGTAACACTGAGGTCCATATTATATACTTGAATGTCCTAGAATTATACTTCTCTGAAAATTATCCAGTACAATGTAGATATGTATGAACCACAATATTCATCAAATGCTCTCATATGCCTCTGCTCATAGGCCCCTGATTTTGTATGTAACTGTAGTGGATTTAATAGTGGCTGCCAGGAAGATACATTCAAATCTCAGCTTGGTGTGGTGGGACACAGCTGTAATCTTAGCACTAGGGAAACTGAGGCAGGAGGATAGCCTCAACTTCAAGGCCTACCTAAGCTATATAATGAGACCCTGTCTCAAGAAAACAGAAAAGAAAGAAAACAAATGTTTAAATCTCAACCTTCAGAACCTGTGAATGTGTTCTTATTTGGAAAAAAGTATTTGTAGATATAAGGATGCTAAAGATATCAAAATCAGATCATTCTGGATTTGGGGTGGGTGTCTTTATAAGAGAAAGGCAAAGAGAGAGTTGAAGGACGGAGAGAGAGACAGGAGGTGGGGCAGGATAGAAAGATAAAGGTGGAGAATGGGAATATGCTGCCACACGGCAAGGAACTCCTACAGCCACCAGACACTGGAAGAGTTAAGAAAGGGTTCTCTAGGGGCTGGGGATTTAGCTCAGTGGCAAAAGCGCCTGCCTGGCAAGCACAAGGTCGTGAGTTCGGTTCCCGGTATCGGAGAAAAACAAAAAAAAAACAATAAAAAAAAAGAAAAAAAAGAAAGGGTTCTCTCCACAATCCTTCAGAGCGAGCACAGACTTTCTGGGCTCCAAAACAGAGGAGAGGAAGGTCTGTTGATTTTGAATACAGTTCAAAATTCAGTCTGTGGTTATTTGTTCCAGCAGCTACAAATGCAAAGTACCATAATCTTCCCTAGACTCCTCTATTGTGCCATAAATCATTATGATCCTGCCGCAGACAGAAGTCACCTTGCCATTTCTTCCCCTCTTCCCCTTCCAACATTTTAGCTGGTGATTCTTCTGTCTTCTCTCTGGTGCTTTAATAACCCATCTGTACACATTTCTCCACGTGCTTTGCTTTTAGCACCCACAGTGCAAACAACATTAAGATTAAAAATGTTTAGTTACTGGGTTGGCATAGTTACAGACCAATCCAAATGAACAACAGCTACAGTGATGGAGCCAAGTACAGGAGGCCACCTTCTGGGCCAGGTATTGCCCTTTAGGAGCTGGACTGTGGCAACCAGACATCAAGACTCCTGATGTCACTTCTTACTGTGGCCCAGGACCATCTCTTTGAAACTTCACCACAGCCCTGTGGAAGAACCTGAGGCCTAGAGAGTCAGTGTTGTGCTTGAGGTCACTCAGGCATTAAGCAAGTGACAGATGGCCTGACTCTGGAGTCTATGCTCTGAATATCTAGAGAAAATCATTTCTCTACAGAGTATCTAGAGTGGGACATACTTAGAAAAAGGAAGCATCCAATCTGGAGGCCTTCAGAAATAGAAATTAGTTACTTCAGAGAAACGGTGCCGGAGGGGAACCAAGTGAGCCCATCCTTGATTCCCATTAGAACTGCAGGCCTAAGGGCTGGGAAAGAGGCCTCAGTAGGAATGAGGGCAGGAATGGGGAGTTGCTTCCCTCCCACACTGGGAGGGAGATGATGTAGTCAGGGTTTGCAAGGGGAAAAATACTGGGCACTTAATTTATAGGATTATTTTATAATAATCACCCAAAGAGTCAAGTTCAAAAGAGTGCAGGAAATCTATCTAACACGAAAGACCCAAAGAATCCAGCTGAGGGCCTGGATCCTATGGCGATGTCCTGCACAAGTCCAGCTGAAGACCTAGAGCCTATAGCAATGCCCCTCCCAAGTCCAGCTGCAGGCCAAGTGCCCATGACGATGTCCCATGTGAGTCTATTTCATGGATCTGTGCTGGGATGGCCCAAAGGTCAGTGGCGGAAGCTAGAAAGTCTGTGCCAGCAGAATGAATGACCTGCACTAGCAGGCTGAGGGATCTGAACTAGAGACAGCAAGCAATGCTCAAAGTAAGAACCAGAGCTCCCCAGAAAAGTACCATGGCCATCCTCAGTGACAGTGAGGTCCTGAGCTCCACTGATGATGAAGAAAGCTGAGTTCCCATCAGGAAAGCCAAAGTGACAAATTTCTCCAGAAGCCTGAGCAGTGTACCATCTTCCCCTATGGAACCAGGAAGCAATGCTCAAAGTAAGCACCAGAGCTCCCCCAAAGTGAACCATAGCCATTTTCATTGACAACAAGGTCCCGAGATCCTCCAGTGATAACAGCTGCCTTCTTACAAGGAAAGCAGCATGACAAGCTCCTCAGAAGAACCAACAGCTCCCTAAATCTCCCTTCTTCTCCTCCAGTTCTGCCTCCTATGCTGCCGGCAACAATCCTCAAGTGGGCCTCCCACACCCAGCACCACACTGGTTCAGTTCAACTGGGTGTTACAAGTTGGCCACCAGTTGTCAATCCACCATAGGAGGTGAGCTCTAAGTTTATGCAGTCAGGTACAGATTCCAGGGTTTTCTGGGGAGCCAGAAATTACAGCCAGGGCCCAGCAGTGAGATCTTGGTAAGATTTCTTGAGCCCTGAGACTTCCCCACATTTTTCCTTCCCTGCCTGCCTCCCTGAGGCAACCTGCCAAGAAGAGAACATAAAAACTTAGGTTAGGGAGGAGCAACATAAAAGACAGGGTTAAGCAGGCAAACTTGCATCTCCAGTTTAGAGGGTAGAAGGGAAGTAAAAATAAGATGAGGGGTGGTGGCTTTAAAGAGGAAACGGCCCTAAGCATTGGCTTGCACAAGATAAGAAAGGAGAAGCAGCAAGGTTACTTCAGCCCAGACAGAGGTGTGGCCCCCAGGGGTGCCCAGGCAGACAGACAGGAGGAGACACTGAGGGGGATCATGTGACAGCCAGAGCAGCAACTACCTTGGAACTCACCATCAGGGGACTTCCCGGCCCCCATATCCAGTAGTCGTGTCTGCCAACAGGAACTTTTAAGCGACTCTAGTCCCAAAAGATCAATCATTTTATGACATTAGTTAGTAGTTGGCAGGTCTGTCACACCATATACAAAAGCTGGGCTATTTCAGTGACTGTATTTCTGAGTCATCTTGTCAACTTTCTGTGTATATTTTCTACCACTATTCTATAATCTCATTCTTTCACTCCAAGTGGATAGGTGATAATTATGTTCTTTTCTTTGCCTATGTTTTTTCCCTTGTAAGATCAAAATAGCAACAACAACAAATAACAACAGCAAAAGCAGATGTGATTTTCTTGACTAGTTCATGGAGATTTTAAAGCTAGCCTAGACACTATGCTTCAAGTGAGATCTGAAATGACAAATTAAGTGCGCTCCTGAGATCTGCAGTAAGCAGAAGCCTATATGGAGATAGTCTTGTGTGTGAAGGGCCTCTCAAAGTGTGTGGCCATCTTGTCAAATTTCCAACTCTTCAGAAATTCTATTTTATGGTTAATACATCTGCTACTATTTTGTGGTTAATAGATCACTGCTATTGGAGTCTAAAAGTTTATCTTGAACACCTTAGTATTTGTCGACATCATGAGGCCTGCAGGAGTTCCTGTCTGGAATCGCCAATCAGCTTAGGGTTCTTTTGCTCAATTCAGATGGAAATCGTGAATCCGTCAAGTGCAGCTCTTCTGGTAGTTCTGATGTCACCAAGCAATACTGGATGCCAGCAGCTGACACTGCTAGCTGCTGGTCACTGCTGCTGCCAGTCGTCACTGTCCATGCCAGCTGGGTGTCTGCCATCGGTAGTTGGACACTGGGCACGGGGTAGCAGGCCGGTGCCAGAATATCGCTGGTGTCTGGAGCGCTTCAGTATTAACAGCTCTGTTTAGGACTTTTGGAGCCCACACTATCTGAGAACAGGTTTACAGGTACCCTAAAGCAAGCCTTTATTCTAACAGGACCTGTGCTAAGCTAATTACACAGGAGGGAGCCCTCCAGGACTAAAACTGAAGCTGTGCCTGAGGCGCTGTTTATGTAGCAACTTGCAGGCCTGTTCAGTGAGGGTGAGGGTTGAAACCAGGGAATCTTCAGGAAAGCTTGCTAAGAATGCTGGGTATGCAAATAAGGGGTCCAGACCCCGCTCGCTCTTCCGGATCTAAACCACTCCCAGGGGCCCGGTTCTAAAAGTGGCTGGAGTTGGGGAAGGGGCCCATATTGCCTGCCGGGGTGCAGCCAAGCTAGAGTGGAGTGGCAGTTTGACAGGGAGGACACTGAAGCAAGCTGTCTCAGTCTATTGGGGTGCAAAGGGGAGCTAAGGGAAGGGGCGTGCTGGCTGTTGGCCAAGCCACCCCCTCATAGCCCGCCCAGGGACAAATGAGAGGGACAGGCGCCTCGCTCCCAGGACGCTGTCCCCGCCGCCGCTGGCCTCGCCGTCCTCACAGGCCCAGCCGCCTGCAGCGAGCCCGCGGTCGCGGCTCTGCCCGAGTGCCGGACTCTCCGCAGCAGCCGCGCCCCGCACGGCCCGCACAGCACGTCG